GGGGGTTTCCCAGGCACTGTGGCACCAGGCAGCAGCTGGAGCTGCTGATGTGAGAAGAGCTTGGGGGCCCTGGATTCTCCTCCCAGGGTTTCTGTTTTGATCACTGTGTTGTCTAAGGTGGAACTGCTCCACCAGTTGAGGGCCACTCGAATCTGGATTTAGATTCATTTTTACCTCTTCATTTATCAGCTTTGATAGAGGAAGGAGGCAAATCTCTAAGAAATATCAACACATGCAGGCTGGGAAATAGCCCTGGATTAAAGCCCTTCCTACACAAGGTTGAGGATCTGAGTTTGACTCCTCAGCATCCACGTAGAAGCCAGATCCCAAGGACTCATTGGTTAGCTAGTCTAGCCTAAACAGTGGTCTCTAATTTCACTAAAAGACTATTTTAAAAGGGGGGGGGGAAGGGAGCCATGGAGGAAGACATGCCAACTTCTGGTCTCTGTGTAAGAACAAATGCTCATTTGCACATAAATACACATCACACACAAACACACGACTTATTTATTGATCTTAGGATACTTTCCTCACAGAACATTTTGATTGTCTGGGTTGTTGAGAATAGAAGTTGTTAGATATCCAAGTATCTCAGATCTTTGGAGACCTTGTTATGCATTGAAAATGTGAGTCTGTAGTGTACCTTTCTCAGTTTTAAGTATTTTTCATAAATTTTTAAACTCCAGTATTGTCAAATTTATCCTCTTCCTTCATATTTTATTCTGTTTTTTAATTTGAAGAATTTGTTCAGAGGCTGAGGCAATAAAAATGTTCTCCTCCCAGCCCTGATAACGTAATACTTGAGAAGTGGAAGCAAGAGAATTTCTGTTCAAGACTATCCTGGGCTACATGGTGAGACCTGTCACAACAATCAAAACAACAAAGTGAAATAAAGATATCCTCCTATATTCCTCTTTTAAACTCCAAGAACAGCTTTCCACATTTACATATTCAACCTATTTCAAATTTACATTTATGTATGATAAAACATGGGGCTGATCCACTATCCTAAAAAATATTTGTGTGTATGTGTATTATATATGTGTGTGCCTGTGCGCGCGCGCGCGCGCACACACACACACACACACACACTATAACGTGCAGGTGGCAGTCAGAGAACAACTTGATGTAGTTGGTTCTCTCCTTCCAATTTTATGTGGATTTTATGTCCAATTTTATGCATCTAATGAATGCAGGTCATTAGGCTTTTTGACATGTACTTTGCTCACTGAGGCATCCTGCCACACTGATCCATTTTCTCTTATCAAAACAAATAACTAAACCCTAGTGTTTCTTCTATAGTTTGATGAAACTTGAACTTGAATGAGACTTCATGTCCATCTTCCCTTATATAGTCTTGATTTTCTAAAATTTTTGAATCTACAAAATCATTTTCTCCCAGTGACCTCCTTCATTCATTTGGTTTTCTTCCTGCTGTGCCCTGTGCTTTCATATGGGAGCATGTTAAAACAAACAAACAAACAAAAAGTCTTTCTACTACATGCAATGTAAAACTGAAAACAGCCAATTGGTTTCTCTTAAAACATGTTGTAAATCTAGAGCTTTACTGCAAAAACAATGCCAGGCATAGTTGGACTGGAAGGATGTTTGTTGACTGGGAAAATGGCTAATTCTCTTGTCTGCTTGTTCCTGACACTTCTGCCAGTGACCAGCTGTGGTGACTGGTGTCATTTTCTACACTCTACTTGGTATATGGTGGATGTGCTTCCTGTAGAACCTGTAGGCCTTGTCAAGTATGCACCCTCCTCCTCACCCCCAGAAGCAACAACTTACCTGAGGCCATAACTAAATCTGAATCCTTTCCATTGCCTTACCATCAGTAGTGATACTTCACATGGACATACACACAGAAAGGTTCTGGAAGCAACCTGGGTACAATGGTGCACAGTTGTCATCTTAGCTGAGGCAGGAGGATCAGAGGCTCAAAGACAGTTCGGGCTACATATATACTGAGATCCTGTTAAAAAAAACTGGGGCGGGGATAGGGCAAGATGGCTCACAGGTAAAGTAAAGGCATGTGTCACCAAACTTGATGACCTGAGCTCAAGCCCCATGATCCACACAGTGGAAGGAAATTACTGGCTCCAGCAAGCTGTCTTCTGACCTCCACTTCTGTCCGTATGCACACAAATAATAAACGTAAAAAGGGAGAAGGGGACTGGAGATGTTAGAGGTTTTAGTCTCCTCAGGCTGTGAAAACAAAAACAAATACAAAAACAAAAAAACTACATGTTTGAGTTCGTGCTTTGCTCCTGTTGGCAAGGGGTCCTTGAGCAAGTTACTTGATTGCCTTCTTTTGTAGAATACAGGGTTGGCCCTGGCGTCTGGTGCACATTAGACAAGTACTCCTATTGATTATATTCCCAAGTCTATTCTGAGTCTGGGGGTGAGGCCACACAGGCTCACTAAGTTGCCTGGGCTGGCTTTTCATTTGCAATCCTCCTGCCTCAGTCTCCCAAACAGCTGAAGCTAACCTAAGTTACTTCTTTGAACACCAGTCTCTTCACCTACAAAATGAGTTAACACACGCAAAGCACTTAGAAGTGTGGTAAGCACATGGTTGAGTGCCCAAAAAAGATTCCGTTCTTACTGCCTTTGGCAAAGGTTAGGGTAAGTTAAGCAGCAGAAATTCATGTTCAAAGTTACTTTATTATAAACTGGGAGCTTGAAAATTTATTATAGGCCTGTAGGCCCTTAGGTGCCATTTCAAAGTCTCAGATTCTTGTTTATCTTTGGGGCCAGGGAGGACTCCCTGTGAAAGATCACAAATTGGCAGCCACTAAGGTACATGGTGACCTTGGATTTAAAATTCCAAGTTATTTTAGATGTATCTGGTGCCTATCAGCTAACTCCGTCCCTTCCATTTATTATGTTTTTGAGGTAGGCTTTTTTCAGACTGTAGTTCTTAGCTGCCTTCCAATGCAATGCATTACTCCTCCTGCCTCGTCTTCCACAGTATTTTGATAACAGGCCTAAGCCCCCATGGTTGGCTGACCAGTTTTTCCAGATGTGCCTTGGGCCTTCGGAGCATTTTACACACCCTCACTTAAAGTGTAGGCATCTGAGTGTGGCACCCTCTCAGAAGAGGAAGAGAAGACAAGCAAGAAACATGAGGTTTGGAGTATCAGGCCTATGCTTCTTGCTGGCCAAGATGGGAGTTAGGTTTGGGCTGACTCCTAGGGGCATGGGCTCCCCTGCAGTCATCACCCTTTCTGCTTAGGACTTCAGCAACCCTTGGAAAATCCCCAGGGGGGGGACTAGCCAGCCTTCACTGTCACTCAACTCCAGCACCTCTCCTCTTCCCCTCTAAACACCAGACAACGACTACGGCCAGAGGCTTCCTTTCTTATCACACTGGGCAGAAACCTGCAGTTCCTGTCTCACAGACTTGCCATCAAGTTGGTAGCTGCTCCTTCCCCACCTGTAAGTACAATACAGTAGAACATATAAAACACTGAAAAGTGTTCGATAAGCTCGGGGTCCTTTTCTTATCCACTCCAGAGCCTTATTTCCTAATCCCCACGTCTCCAGCAGCCCCTTAAAAGAGACCCGGCAACTTCCAAGCTCCATTCCAAGTTCATCATTTTTTTTACTAGTTTCCAGCTAGCTGCAGAATAAAAGCCCTTCATAAACTGGGCTCAGGCTTCCCTCCTGTGGTATCAACACGCATTAGCTTGGTTCTAGTCAGAGCCGCTCGGCGCAGTCCTCCCTCTCCGCCTTCCCTGGTCTCCAGCCCGGAATGCCATCTCCGCCTCTGCGCTCGCCCGGGCTTCCGGTCCGCTCCAGCCCCAGCTGGCCCGTGACGCCTTTCTAAACAACAGCCCGGCTCCCCCTCACCTCCTGCCCCGAATTTTCTCAGTTAAAGCGTCCTGTCCTATCTCGCGGGAGCGTCGGAAGCGGTTCCCACAGGGAACTGCAATCCAGAGAGGAGCTCTGCTGTCTTTGGAACTTTCCGGAATCCCCTGACGCCTGCGCTCCCCGTTCCAGCTCGCTCGCTCGCTCGCTCGCTCGGGATGCGAGACGCGGCCGCAGTCGGTCTGAAGTGAGGGCGTGTCTGCTGCAGGTGGGGGTGGATGGAAGGGCCGGGTTCGTGCGTTGGGGCTGCCACCCCGGAGGTCACTAGCAACGGAGGGGCGTGGTCATACGGTTTCGGGGAGGCCGCACGTCACCGCCGCGGCTGCAGCGCGGGGGCCGGTGGATCTGCAGGGGAAACTGAGGCCTGCGGTGGAGTGACTTGGCCAGGGTCACTGGGTGAGGGGCGTGCTCGGGCCTGGGTTTGGGGGGGGGCCGGGGACCCAGCCAGGAGCAGCGGGGGGGCCGGGGTGTGGGGGGACCCTCCGAAGTGGCTCAGCCCCCCTCAGGCGCGGGTGCCCCGGCCCGCGGTGGGCGGCGGCGGGGCGCGGGCCCGG